GGCGGCACCGAGTGTCGCGGCGATGCGATGACGCGCTCTCGAATCGCGCGGCAGGATTTTCCGTTTTCGGAATCGTCACCACGACATCACGAGCATATCTAAGCATATCCCTCCTCCCCCCCCCTCTTCCTCTCTTCTTCTCGCTGAGAAACTTATGATTTTTAGTCAGCGAAACGAGTGAACGATAAAGAATACAAATGGAAATTTATGTTGTGAAATATAACCAATGATCTTTTTAAAGCTTTGGCGATGCATTGGAAGTTTCTTGGTTACCTCTTACCGTCGACTTCGTTAGTAACGAAGTCGCGACATTGCTCGCAACAACGGAAGAGAATTCGTTAACATATCTTAATTTTGATTAAGGAATCGATGCTTTTTTGCAATTCTCTCATTGTTCCGTCACGAGAATTAAAAAGAGCAGATAAGAATAGAAAGGCGCGAATATAGGAAGATTGAATTGGTTTAAAAATAGTCTCTAACGTGTCACAGAAAATCCATATAGGTAACACACTTCTATGAGAATTTCTTTTTAGTTCAGTTATATTTGTTGATTAATTTTAGCAAGGGAATTATATATTAAGTAACACACACTAAAGAGAGAGAAGGGCTGCAAATAAGTCGAGACTATGTCTTTATGCCTAATAATATTTTATATATAAATTTAAAAAATATCTTGCAATTATTGGATTTGAAATCACATACTGAAATAATATCATAAATTAAATTAGCTATTAAATAATATCCCCTCTCTCCTCCAAGCTCGTCTACGCCTAGAAAATATAATCGCTATAAATATATATCTACATATACATAATGCCTGTAATAATCGATATCTGTATCTATATTAATTGCATCATGTAATTGGCACAAAATGCCAGGGTATTTGCCTTCAAAGAATCATATTCTCAACCTCCTCATGTTTTTAATTCTTTTATATCTGTCAGATATATGACACTTTTTGCGATTCATCGCGCTTGACTCTGAATAGACTTGTAGTATTATTTATTTGCTGTTTTCTTTTTTTTTCCGTACACTTTGATCGTACACTTTGATGCAAATCGAAGGGTTTTCAATGTCACCGTCGTCAGAACGTCATCAGAATTACATGTATCGCGAGAAGTCGCGACTCGATCTTATGCAATTCTCCCCGTTGGCGACACCTTGCTGACTCGTCGTTTTATTCGTGAAAAAAAAAGAAATATTCCCGGAAATTTTTAGCTCGTCCAATATAAACCTTTTATATCTATCTTTGTGGTAATCCATACAGGATGATCCAGTATTCTAAAATATTTTAAGAAGCTACTTCCTTACATTTTTTTAAATTTTAAACAAGAATGTTATATGTCCGAAACGGCTTACAATTAGTTTCAAAGATATGGATATCAAAGTTGAAAAAGAAAGGAAACTTCCAAAAATTTCGAAATTCATTCGAATTATTTTGTTGAAATTTCATGTATATTTCAAGGACATAAAGGCGCCCATCTTTTGAAGACATTAATTTTTTTAAATACAATGTAAAAGAAATTTAGTTTTCGTCTTGAATTATAAAATATGAGAAATCATCTCTCTTAAAATCGTTGAAAATAATTAAGAATCACCCTATATATATTTATATATTTATAAAATAGTTAAAGACCATCCCGAAATATTTACGATGAAAGACTTAAAGGGAAAAATAATTTTCGCTTTAGCGAGTAGACACAATTTAAATAGTATGCAATAACTTACAATGGTATTAAGTTTTGTACTCCAGACATTTTTAAGATAAAAACGAATTCTGATATATGAGTGCAATCAGAAAATACAACAAGCATTGATAACAATCGCTAATTGGAGTGCACGTGTAGACCTACTAATTATATACGTTCTCCGGATTATAAGAGTCGATCCCTCGACAGTAGTATTCGTTCCGTTTGATGTGTTTGCGATTCCATACACAAGAACCATTTAAAAGACCGTCGCAGTAAAATGAGAATTCGCATGAATATCTCTATGTATAATACATCAATGTATCGACTCAACGGCTTTTTTGTTGATGTGGCAAAAAAAAACCACTCGTGCGCGCGACACGCGTGATATGAAGAGGCGAAGGAAATCGAATACAAATGATTCAGCTAGAGTGTATTCTCTGAGAGCACAGTCTATTATTAATCTTTTTTCCTTGTTTTTCAATATTTCGGGCCATATTCTCGTTTTAGTCGGAGAATTACGTCGTAATTAATGTTACATATCGGCTATTATTTACATATTTTTCTTGATTTTGCGTCACGCTGCAATTTTCCCCGCAGTCACAGTGATATTGCCTCGACGAAAATCTTCCCGCGCCGCGCGCTTGGTGTAAATCGAATGTTCGATAACGGACGGTAGTGAGAGAAGGAGAGAGCGAGCGAGCGAACGAGGGGTCGATCTGGCAACCGCGCCGCGCGGCAGTGCCGGAATTGAATTTCAAGCGCCCGAGGGACAGAGGGGGCGTACCGACCGGCGCGGCCCTTTCTCTTTTGTATAGGGGGCACGAGGCGCATAACGGTGAGTCGACGGCCATGTTGCCGAGGCTTATACTCGGCATGTCCGTTTACCTGCTTACCTGCCTGCCTGCCTGCCTGCCTGCTTGCTTGCTTGCTTGCTTGCCTGCCTGCCTGCCTGCCTGCCTGCCTGCCTGCCTGCCTGCCTGCCTGGCCTGCATGCTTGCTTTCCTATCTGTCTGGCCTACGTGCCTGTGCCTATATTCCACACAATCGCTTCTCTTCGCTCCGCTCCGTTCCACTCCGCTTCACGGGGCTCCGTCTGGAGCCCGTGGCGGGCAGAAAGGAAAAGGCATTATCACAGTTTTAAGGACGATCGAATCTCCGGCAGCCCGAGTCGTTTAAATTTAGGAACGCTCGAATACTCAAGTTATTTCGGAAAAAGCAGCGAGACGGTGGAAAACGGGGCGTCAAGACGCAGGAAGACGCTCCTGGGAAAACTCAATGTTCCCTTCATCTTTATCGCCCTTTTCTTTGCCGTAATTTTATCTATATTACTTAGAAAGTGGGTTCCTCTATGGGACCTATCGAACGCACAGGAAGTTGGAATTTGAACGTACATTCTGAAGAAAAAATAATCTCGAACGAATTTACTTTGTCGTGAAATTTTGAAAAATTGTTACAATGTTTAAGTTGTTCTTAAACCTTGGCAAATATTTCTGTATAAATTATTCTAGCATATAAAAATATTTTAAATAAGCTTATTTTAAATATATTTAAGTGCGTACTACGCGATGTGATTTCTGATTATAATTTTTCAAAATTACTTCAAATTTTTATAACAATTTTTTTAATTTGTCACTTGAAATTACTTTTCTCTATTAAAAATTGAACTCTCTGTAAAAAAAATTGCATTTGTTGTATCTTTGACCTTTCAAGAGATTTATACGCGCTGTATCTTTGACCTTTCGCGATTTCTTTGCAGAAGAATAAAAATTATTTTCAAAGCCAGGGAGCGCGTTCAATTTCTTCTCTTCGTCGCTGCCACCTGATTTTGGAGTTTAAACAACACGGAATGCTTTTCAATTTTGATAAATTGCCGTCCAACACGCTCTACTGGATGTTCCAAAAGAACACGTCATCAGGCGCGCTACATCTTTATCTTACACGCGAGCAAGATGATAAAATTTGACAAATACGCACACCGGCGTTCATCTGAACGCAGCTGCGTAAGATTCACCCTTCGAAAATCGGCCCCAAGCGACTGTCAGAAACAGTCGAGCGTTTCAGTCGTGGGACATCCGTTCGCAAAGTATACATGCGTCCCTGTACAGGCAGCTGTATAATATAACTTTAGCTCAAATAACCATTGCTGTGTAAGAGCTGTATCAAATTTTATTGAACTTTTAATTATCTTGTTAGTTTCTGATTGTATACAAGAAAAGATGAAAGAGACAAAATAATAATAAAAAAAAGAAGCGAACCTACAGTGAATCTATTCTACGAATTTCTACGAATACATGCGTTGGGTATCTAGATACTTTATATAGTGATATATGTATAAACTTCAAAAATAAATTCGAGCGTCTTCTCTCTCGGTTTACTGTTTCGAGCAATTACTTGTTTACGACCTTACACAATAATCGCTAGTAACTTCGAAGCTTATCGGACACGCGATAACGAGAATTATAATTACGCCGTTATTGCGTTAATTTTGTAAAATCTACATTATTAATAATAGGAGAAATATCTCGCCGTGGAAATTTCTATCTGTTTTTACATTCCCGGAGCAACAACGGTGGAACAACTCCGAGTTATTTTATCCATCCCTGAACACCGCGTCTCCACTGATCCTCCAGTACGGCGCCATGGAGGGGGGCGCAATGCGCAGCTGACGGTGGATGCGGTGTCCGGACGTACGAACACGACGAGGGGAGGAACGGCTCGTTGGCTCGTTCGCTCGTTCGCTCGTTCGTTCGTTCGTTCGTTCTCTCGCTCGCTCGCACGCTCGCTTGTCAGAAGTGGTCATCGGGGACAGGAGAGGGTCTGGCGGGGTGCCAATCGCGACGGCGGCGGTGAGCGACGGTGCTGCCCTCGCTCGGCCGGTAGACGTACTACGGCACACACACGCGCGCGCGTGACGGAGCGAACGATTGGCTGGTCGGGCTGGCTGGCTGTAATATGTGCGTTTCCTCCGTTTCCTCCGCGTTCCCGTTTTCGAGACCATTCGAGACAGGAGCAGGGGTGCTTGCCGTTCCGTTCTGCTGACGTGCGGGCGCTCGCGTGCACAAATGGGGCGCACGCACACGCACGCACACGCACGCATCGGCGCAGCCGTATACGACTTTTCGTCGATCTAGCGACGTTATTTGCAAATGCAATCGATGATCGTCGACCTCGTCGCGGATCTCGTCGCGATATTCCCGTGAAGAAAAAGGAAATATCGACGTTGAGCCAACGATAAAGGCGAACATCAAGCGAGACAACGGGAGTGGTAGAGAGGGAGAGAAAGAGGAGGAGGGGGAAGAGAGAGAGAAAAGAGATAGTTTGAGAGAGACCGTGCTCGACCAATCGCCGCTTTCCGTGGCTCCGTCGTCGATGAGGCGGTTGTCGCGCAACGTAACCTCAGTCGCTTACGTGGAAACACGCTTGTCGGGCGACGTTGGTAGAAAATCGAGCGAACGTAGCTTATATACCAAGCGGACACAGATATTTATTGTACGACGCCGCGCGAAGAAACGCGCGATTCCATCGTTGCTTTCTCTCTCTTTCTCTTTCTGCCTCTGCGTGCGTGATTACGTTCACAGCGTTTACGAATCGCCTACGTGCGCGCGCGAGAGTACCCAGTGAGCACAGAAAAGAATCACGGTGTAATCCACGACGAAAGACACGCACGCGAGAAACAACGGAGAGTCACGTTGATACCTCTTATTGTCAAGCAGAGAAGAACAGGGAGCGGAGTACGTGCTCTGCGTGCGAGAAGGAGAAAAAGAGAGGAGAGGCGCGCCGAACCGTTCAGTTGGAGAAAGGAGCTTCTCCGTGAAAATCTCGCGCTCCCCTCCGACACACTACACAAGGTGTCGAAGGCACGTTGCCGCGTGTGTTCGACCGAATTTCGCGGCCCCGTGAGAGCGAGCGAGACGGACGTGGTGCAAAAGGAAGAAGGAGAGAGAGGAGAGGAAAAAAAGAGAGGTAGACGCGTAAGAGATATATAGGCGCAATCAAAGGCGATAGACAAGGACATCGCGGTAGCGAGGAGGACACGGAACGGACGTGGAAGGGAGAGCGGAATAAGCGGCGATCAAGTGGGAGAGATACGGACTCCGTGGAAGCGAGAGGGTGAGCGAGAGAGAGAAAGGACGAAACGGAGCCGTCGGAGCGGAGCGAGAGAAACGGATAGCGACTCAGTGGAGAAAGCGTGACAGGCGTATTCCCAATAGAGCGAAAGAGGTGAGTGGGGGACGCACGGGAGTGTTTCCCAGGTGCGCGAGAGAGACGGAGACAAGGAGCGCTTTGGAGAGGGAGCGAGGCGCAGTCGGGTTAGAGTGGGGATAGAGGCGCAACCCGAGTAGTGCTGCCGCCTATTGACAACGTCGCGTCGGCTCCCCACCCGGGCCAGTGTCGAGCGAGGTCCGACGGAGAGTTCTTACGACAGTGTGATTTTCTCTCGTGTAGTCGCACAGTGTTCAGGAGAACTGTTTCGTTCTGAATACGTTCGAGATACATTTTATCCATTCGTACTCTTTTTAAACGTAAGTCAAACGAAGAGAGGAAGAAAGAGAAAGAGAGAAAAGGAGCAGACGACTCCTCCCTCGAAAAGAAAAAGAAACGTACAGTGACAGTTATCTTTTTATTCAACGTTTTCATTAAAATTCCACGTCCGTGTAAACGCAGGCTACGAATCTTTCCATTCGCGAGAGAATCGAGAGAGCCGTAACGTCTCTGTACGCGGCTCTCCCACCACCGTCATCGATTTCCCACGCGACGCGCTTACTCGCGCCGCACTGGTGAGGGAATTCGCGAGGGTGAAGTAGGATTCCTCGGCAAAGAGCAGACGAGACGCGGCAACGCCGCCCGTGACAACGGCGGCGGCGGCGGTGGTAACAGCGAGAGAACAGCGAGCAGCGGCGGCGGCATCAGCAACGGGAACGGCCGACGCGATTTACGGAGCAACGGCAGTAGGCGGCGCTGGTGCTGCGCCCCGACGGCCGTCGATCGAAGCCCGCGTTATCGCAATGGCTTCCGTGAAAGACACAGCGACTTTCTTCGCGGAGGGCACCGCGACGCAGTTCGATCACGTTCTCAAACTTTATCCGCAGGCGCTGCGCCTCAAGGCCGATCACAAGTCGAAAAAACCCGAGGAGCTGATCAAGCTAGACAATTGGTAAGTACGGCTTAATGTACTCTGCAACGCACAACGACGCTGTCATTTCCCTTCCGGGCGTGTGTGTATGTGTGTATGAGAGTATGTTTGTGTGTATGTATGTGTGTGTGCTTCTGTGTGCGAGAAAGAAAAGGAGCGAGCGAGGTAGAGAGAAGGTGATAGCGTGAGGGAGAGAGAGAAAACGCGCTGCCGCCGCTGATGGGCCGCCGACATTACGGCGGCCCGAGGGAGGAAACGGCGCTCTACCACGGGGCGCACGCGGGACAATGAACCCGCTTCGCACTGCTCTCCGCAAGCGAGCGAGCGAGCAAGCGAGCGAAGCGAGAGAATGGCAACGCCGCGCGTGTGCGCGCCCCTATGTCACCCTCACGGCTCACTCTTGTCGAGGATCGAGGGGGATTTACCCCGCGGACTTCTCATGGACAGTTTCTCGCCGTCACGTGGTCAGCTGTCCCACGATAGAATGATACTCCGAACAAGTAGATATAAAAAAATGTAGATCCCATTTTTTTCTCCTTTTTTTAGTTGTTGGTCATAAACAAATGAAACTAGGTCGATGAGGAATGCGATTGTCGGAGATTATTCTTTTTTTATCTCGTCTAGTTGATCGAAGGTTTTTTTTTAGAAAAGATAAAGAGATAAAAGAAGGGAATAAATAAATCACCCGCGTATATATGTTTATGGAAATATATAATTGTATATTTATTTATCTATAGTGTATATTTATTAAAGAAATGTTTTATATTCACATTTTTTATTTATATGAATTATAAGTTGCAACGCGTGCGTTAATTATTTGTGTAAGTAACATGTAAAACGTAAGCGGAATTGAAATGTAGATAATTTCATTGCTGATATGATTATTGATTTTTATAAAATGATTAATCTACACGTGACGTAATTACATTCGTAATACTTACAAAAAATTTAAAAGGACGGATTAATCAAAAGGATTATGTAATTCGTGATATCACGCAAAGAATGTTTATTTATGTAATGATTCATTACTCGTTCTGTTTATGAACAATAATTATCTGTTTATAAAGAAATAAAGTTGATTAATAGAACACTTTAAATCATTGACGATATTAGATTAAGGAGTTTAGATTACATATATAATAATAATAATAATAATAATAATAATAGCTC